CCTAACCCTACCCTAACCCTAACCTAACCTAACCTAACCTAACCCTAACCTAACCCTAACCTAACCCTAACCTAACCTAACCTAACCCTAACCTAACCCTAACCTAACCCTAACCTAACCCTAACCTAACCCTAACCTAACCTAACCCTAACCTAACCCTAACCCTAACCTAACCTAAATCTTACATAATCAACCCCTATCTCTCCTACATAATCCCCTACTACACTTATCTCCCCCTAATCCTATCACAACTACATTACCTCCCTCTACTCCTAATCCTACTACCTATCCTAATCCTAATCCTACTACCTATCCTACTACCTATCCTAATCCTAATCCTACTACCTATCCTACTACCTATCCTAATCCTAATCCTACTACCTATCCTACCACCTATCCTATTCCCCCTAATCCTACTCCAACTACCTATCCTATTCCCCCTAATCCTACTCCAACTACCTATCCTACCACCTATCCTATTCCCCCTAACCCTACTCCAACTACCTATCCTATTCCCCCTAACCCTACTCCAACTACCTATCCTACCACCTATCCTACTACCTATCCTACCACCTATCCTACTACCTATCCTACCACCTATCCTACTACCCATCCCACTACCTACCCTACTACCTACCCTACTCCTACCACTTATCCTACCCTATTCCTACTACCAACTCTACCACCCAATCTTACTACACTATCACTCCTATTCCTATTCCTATTACCTACACTACCCTATTCCTAATTCTATTCCTATTACCTACACTACCTACCCTATTCCTATTCCTATTCCTATTACCTACACTACCCTATTCCTATTCCTATTCCTATTACCTACACTACCCTATTCCTATTCCTATTCCTATTCCCATCCATACCAACTACTCCACCTACCTATCACACACTACCCTACTTACAACACCTACTCTACCCTATTCCTAATCCTACTACCAACTTTTCTTTTTTCCATCTACTCCATACTCTATTCTCCTATTACCAACTACCCTACATCACTTACACTACTACTACTACTCTCCCAATCCTACACTATCCTATCATTCCTACCAACTACACAACCTACACTACTACTATCAATCACTACCAACACTACCCTACTTACCCTACTTACAACACCTCCCATTTCCCCCTACACTACCCTATTCCTACTACCAACTCTACCAACCACACAACACATTTCCAACTACACTACTCTCTTATTCTCAACTACCCTACCAATTCTACCTACACCACCACCACCACCACCACTACTACTACTCTTTTCCTCCCACATTATCACTTCCTTATTACCAACTACACTACCATTACTATCACTACTACTTACATTCTCACACACTACCCTATTCCTATTACCTACAACACCACTACTACCTCTCTTTTCTTCACTCCCTACTCTATTCCTATTCCTACTACCAACTTTTCTTTTTTCCATCTACACCACATTCTTATTTCCATTACCACCACTACTCCTATTACCAACTACCCTACTTTCTCTACCACAATTTTCTTCCCACCCTACACTACCTACACTACTTACACTACTACCTCAATTTTCTTCCCACACTACACTACCATTACCCCCACCACCACTCATTACCAACCACACTACCCTATTCCTATTACCACTACCATTACTACCACTCCTACTGCCACCACCACTACCACTACTTACACTACTACTACTACTACTACTCAAATCATCCCACACTACCCTATTCCTACCAACTACACTACCATTACTATTACTCTTAATACCACCACCACCACCACTACTACCACCAATTTCATCCCACACTACACTATTATTCCTATTACCAACTAATCTACCCTCACTACCATTATTCTCACTCGCGGGGTGTCCACGGCGTTATTTCCACATTATTTACCGGGGTTTTCACGCGGGTTATCGACGGGTTATTTACCGGGGTTTTCACGCGGGTTATCGACGGGTTATTTACCAGCGTTTTCACCTGGGTTATCTCCACATTATTTACTGGGGTTTTCATGGCCGTTATCTCTGCCTTATTTACCAGCCTTTTAATGCCCATTATCTCCAGCTTTTCTACTGCCATTTTCATCCCAGTTCACTCCCCATTACTTTTCCTACTTCTCTCACCAACTCACTAATCTCTAATCTCTACTCATCATACAAACTACTAGTCTGTCTTACCACTCCAGATAACCAACCAGTCCCTTATTTTTGCTAGTCATATTCAAGTCAGTCCCTAGTCAGTCAGTAGTTACTACTACATCCCTTCGTAGCTAGTCCACTTTTTTTGCTAATCAACTCACTACTCATCTTCAATCCAAATAACCAACCGGTCCCTTATTTTCCTAGTCCCTCATCAGTAGTCAGTGGTTCTTGCTAACTCCCCTTTTTTGCTAATTACTTGCTAGTCATCTTGTGTCCAGATAACCAACCAGTCCCTCATTTTTTGCTAGTCATATTCAAGTCAGTCGGTAGTCAGTAGGTGCATGCTCACTACTACATCCTTTCATAGTCCACTGTTCCAAATAAGCAACTGCTCACCTATTTTTTTTTGCTATTTGGTAGTCAGTGGTCATTGCTAACTCCACTTTTTTTTGCTAATTACTTGCTAGTCATCTTGTCTCCAGATAAGCAACCGGTCGCTTATTTTTTGCATTCTTAGTGGCTGTGCTGCTTCCCTTCACCAACTTTCTGGTCCCTGTGTATTTATTTCCTTATATGGTGGTTGCATGCAGTGGCTGTGTAGGTTTCATTCAGTGGCTGTGAGGTTTCATTCACTCACTAAGAGGTTGCATGCAGTGGCTGTGTAGGTTTCATTCAGTGGCTGTGTAGGTTTCATTCAGTGGCTGTGAGGTTTCATTCAGTGGCTGTGTAGGTTTCATTCAGTGGCTGTGAGGTTTCATTCAGTGGCTGTGTAGGTTTCATTCAGTGGCTGTGTAGGTTTCATTCAGTGGCTGTGAGGTTTCATTCAGTGGCTGTGTAGGTTTCATTCAGTGGCTGTGAGGTTTCATTCAGTGGCTGTGTAGGTTTCATTCACTCACTAAGAGGTTGCATGCAGTGGCTGTGTAGGTTTCATTCACTCACTAAGAGGTTGCATGCAGTGGCTGTGTAGGTTTCATTCACTCACTAAGAGGTTTCATTCAGTGGCTATGTAGGTTTCATTCAGTGGCTGTGTAGGTTTCATTCAGTGGCTGTGAGGTTTCATTCAGTGGCTGTGAGGTTGCATGCAGTGGCTGTGTAGGTTTCATTCACTCACTAAGAGGTTGCATGCAGTGGCTGTGAGGTTTCATTCAGTGGCTGTGTAGGTTTCATTCACTCACTAAGAGGTTGCATGCAGTGGCTGTGAGGTTTCATTCAGTGGCTGTGTAGGTTTCATTCAGTGGCTGTGTAGGTTTCATTCAGTGGCTGTGAGGTTTCATTCAGTGGCTGTGCAGGTTTCATGCAGGAAACCTTCCATATAAGGCAGGTTTCATGCGGACCCTGGGGCAGGGTCCGGAAAGTAGAATATTAGGTTAGGGTGGTTAACGGTTAGGGTGCGATTATATAATGCGAAGGGCCGCGAATGCGGCCCGTAGCCACTATGCTGCCGGTGGTCGTCACGAAAACCTGGTTAAGGTTAGGGTGGTTAGGTTCGGTTAAGTTAGGGTGGTTAGGTTCGGTTAAGGTTAGGGTTCGTCATCGATGGACATGCACACCCCAGTAACCGGTTAAGGTTAGGTTCGGTTAAGTTAGGGTGGTTAGGTTCGGTTAAGGTTAGGGTTCGTCATCGATGGACATGCACACCCCAGTAACCGGTTAAGGTTAGGTTCGGTTAAGTTAGGGTGGTTAGGTTCGGTTAAGGTTAGGGTTCGTCATCGATGGACATGCATACCCCAGTAACCGGTTAAGGTTAGGTTCGGTTAAGGTTAGGGTTCGTCATCGACGGACATGCATATCTCTATACTTAACGGATATCTGATTCGTCCAAGTCAAACTTATGATACGTGTTATATATTACAATATGTACACTAATTTCTAAGTCTAGGCCAGTTAGGGTACAAGTCTTCTAAATAGACCGTCGGCGCAGCAATTGGCTGCGGATGATGGAGTACAGGTGGCGGTGTCGGCACCCATACGATGGGCTCACCTAAGTCCGGAGTAGGTACTACTGGTGGGGGGTTAGGTGGCGCTGGATCGTTGTAAAGGGGATGGTCTAGGTTGTAGACCACGGTGTTCGCCTTCAACCAATCGACGTCGTGGACCGTCGTGTTGAGGGGGTTCTTGTTGTTGAGCCAAATACATGGCTTACCCCAGAACACTGTGCGCTTTCGCATGTACTTGTCCGTGATTTCGAATTCTTTTTGCGCACCGAAGAATTCTTTGACGGACCAGAAGCGGTCTATGTCCATGTCGTCGAGTACCAAGTACTCGGGTTCTTGATCGCCGTCCAATTCAAATAATTTGGCGGCGTTAAGCTGGCCATTCATATAAATATGTGGACCTAAGAGGGAATAAGTAGCCGTTATATCATCGATCAAAGCCCGATGAATAGAGGGCTTACCTAATGACCTTGCCCATTCGGTCTTTCCGGTCCGAGATGGACCCCATACGCATAGGGTCTTAGGACGGTCAGGGTTTTTCATCTCACCTGACGCCCATTCTGCCAACGTGGCTGGCAGACGTGGGAACTCCGTCCATTTCGACTCGTAAGCGGGTCGTTGAGCCTTCCAGTGTTTATCCGCGAATGACATAAATTTGTCATGGTGGATAATCCATTCGTACGGGGCGAGTTCCTTGGCACGGTCCTCGAAGTCGTCCCTAGTGGTCGCGGAGCGGATATAGACGAAGCGTTCGTCACGCTTCCCCTCCTTGAGGTCCTGGACCTCGGCATTACCTGATGGTCCCTGCCATGGTCCGAAGATCTCGGCTCCCTCCTCCTTATGGATATATTCCCATCGCGTAAGGAGGTCGCGATGAGATTTAAGCCTAATAAGGTTATATCAGTTGACGTAGTCATCGAGATATAGAATAATACTTACGTGACGACATTCGGATGCAGTCCATCAATGTCGAATAGATCCGCTCTACGAGATCGGATCGCCTGGTCGAATTGGACGATGACGTGCCAGTGTTTCCCACCGTCCTGGTGGGATTCCACTGCCACCTTCCACGTCGATGGTTTGGGGTTACAGTTCTCGAAGAACTCCCTGACCATGTCGGATGGTCGGTCCCCAATCTAAAACGAACTCTTTGTTCAGTCATGGAAGTAATAAAGAAAGATAATGACGCACCTGAGCGTACGTCAAAAAATACCTTTTAGCGCTCCACCTAAAGGTAGCGCCGGGCTGTGCCGCTTGCCTTGCCCTTAGGGGTTGAGACCGAATTGGTCCAACCGACGAAGTACGCTGTTGGGCAGGCGGCGGCGGTGCGAGCGGGGTGCCGAATAGCGAAGGCTGCGTTGGCAGCGCTGGTGATGGGATGGCGTGGTGTCGCCATCGACCCTCTGCCATTACCGGAGGCATTGGCGTCGAAGGTACAGAGGGGACGGAGGGAGTGGCGATGGGCGAGATGAAACGAGTCGGCTGCCATCGCGACGTCGAGGCATAGAGGTTGGAGGATGATGACGCTTGAGACATGTTGCAATGTGTGGGAAAGTGGGTAAAGACGACAAGTCGGATAAGGAGGCCCCCCGCCCTTTATAACATTGTAAGGGGGGCCTCTACCCACTCTACCCACCCATTTATGGCAATAGACACTCCATAAAAGGCAGGTCTACCCTGTCGTAAGTCCATAAATGGAAGTAGTGGTACCATAATTGGTAACTCTTTCCTAATGCGGCGTTGGGTATGGGTAGAATGCGAACATTCCCAGGGTTATTAGCCTGGGGCTATTAGTCGCGTGATACCATAACCGAGACACATGGCTGTGCCGAACAGTCACGATGAGTCACGTCAACTGCGGATAGCGTTATCCGCTGTTCGCATGACTCATGATGACTCATAATGACTCTACAAAGTGATGTAATTTAGTAATAAATGACTCATTCGCACAGCGTTGATTTGTTTGAGGCTAAGTGATGATCCGGTGTAAATAGCATATGCGGTGATAAGCCGTGTTACCATCAGATGCTTCCATCAGAAGCGAGGCAGTGTGACACCGCTTATCCGGCCGGAACTCGCAGCCGAGTAAACCCCGTGGTTTATCCGAATAGGATGCAACCGAACAATCCCCACTGGAATGTTCTAAATTAGTGTCGATGGGAAAAAAGTCACATGATGGTAATGTTGGAGTATTTAAACTCCGCCTTGAGTCGTTTCTTTCCTCATCTTCTCTCATCATGTCCTACGCATTCAACAACTTCGATCTCATCCAATCCCACTTCGCCCGCGTCGAGGATGGCTCCAATATGGAGACGATGGCGGCAGGTAGTCAGGACGACTACGTCAAGTGCGGGTGCGGCGTCGTCATCGGCGCCTACGATAACGTCTTGGAGGAGGTGAGCCCGGTTGGGATAGGGCACGTTTGGAGGCACGGGGATCCGTGCAATGACAAGGTAAGTAATAGATTTCTTTTTTATTGGTTTTTTCTGATATTTATTTAAGTTTTTCAGTTCGTTGGAGAGGAAGCCGCGTGCTGCGGAGATAGTGGCAGTAATGTGCCAGCAGCTATGGGACCTGCAGGTGCGGGTGGAATACAGGTGAGCAAGTTAGTTAGATTGGCGTCCCTATCTGACTAACTTGTTCATTAGGAATGGGACGTATACAGCATCGTCCCCCAGGGCGGCGGTCATCCCCAGTTTGGGGTTGATGAGGTACACGGCGGTGAGGCTGGCGAACAGGCAGGGGAACCTGCGTGCGCAGCTATGGCACACGATTGGGTTCCCCCGACCTCGGGTAGTCCCCCAAACCCCCGCTCCTCGTCCTCCTCCAGCTGGTGGGCGGATCTCTCCACCCTTGGGTCGCCCTCTCCCGCCTCCGATGCCCGCCATAGTCCCAGCGCGGAGGTTACTGAAGCGGGAGTATGCGGAGTTCTTTCTCCGTTCCACTCCCTCCCCCCCTCCCCAAGAAGAAGCCCCCCCCCCGCCGTCGCCATCGAAGCGGATCAAACAGGAGAGCCCGGAGCCTCCGGTGTTGAGATTCGCGTCTCCCCCCCTCCCTCCTCGTCGTCGGGGACTTCGGAGTCAAGCGACTTCGACGCGTGGAAGTGGGAGCCGCTCGACCCGTTCGAGACCTACCTCCGGCGGTCAGCGTATCACATGGCCCCCGACACGTTCTGTCCCGCGGTCGGCGAACCCGGAGTAGATGGGAATACTCGGGCCCAAGTACTCCCGAAAGTGCTTGGCGAAGTGGCGGCGGTGCTGTCCCACCCTCGTTGGAGTCCGGGCGGTTGGGTGGAAGAAAGTGGCCGGTTCCCGTGGATAGGTAACATGGAGCGGTATGTAGATCGGGATACATACCATCAATTTGTACGTAGTTACCTGTGTGCCACCGCCTATCTGGCACATCTGCAGA